TGGAGCTGGGTTTACTATGTTCACTTTCCTCCATAGATGAGCCATATGCTTGTCACGTGCTGTGTCTGTGGCACACTGTAACTCTGTGTGGCTCTGTGCGACTCAGTGTGACTGTGTGAAAGAGAAAAGGTAGGGGGGGAAGTAGGAGTGGTTGAAAAGGAGGAAAAGGTTGAGAGAACTTTTGAGAAAGCTTTTTGGCACTTAAGTCAATTTGGTGGCTGGATCGAGAAAAAAATCATATATATATATATACTCGTACTTTGTACTAATCACTAATATATATATGTATATATATATATTAATTCATCAATCGCTAAAGACTAGAGATCAAACAACAAACTGACTGCATGCTCTTCATCTTTTGAATTCCTTTGGCATGCAAAAAAAAAAAAGTAAATTAAGATTTTGAATTCCTTTGAATTAATGGCCACAGAGCTATCACTGTGGACCATGATGGTGACTGCAGAGAGTAGCTGGTAGCCTGGTATTGATGTTGAAGAGAGTCAATGAAAAATTCATATCCAAAAATATATTTACCATAATTTAATTTGATGGTGGAAAACCCTCTCAGTGCATGCAAGGATGTTTTTGGGCTTGGTTCCATTTTATATAAAAGTTTATGGGCTTGGTTGTTCATACAAGTATTGTCGAGTCTTCATGCCCAAGTATCATCTTCAGGTCTTCAGGCCCAGTAGTTCATTTTGGGGCTTTTCAACATTGACTTGGGAAGAACTTCCATGTTCTGGGTACAAACAATCACTACTAGAAATCTGTAAAGTGAATTTTGAAGCATATTGTAACACCGAGTTATGTTTGGAATCTTGTTCAGGTTTGGCACTTATAACAAAGAATGAAGCTCGGCTTTGGACAGATGGTCGCTACTTTCTGCAGGAGACATATCAACTTAGCGACGAGTGGCAGCTTATGCGAATGGAGGAAGACCCTGCTGTCGATATTTGGATGGCAGATGTGAGTCACTGGTTCTTTGAGGAACCCTTGTAATTATTTTCAATGTTGTAGATTCACTAATCATTATATTTTCTCATATATAGCTTTCAACCCTTTTTGATTTGCACAACAATGCTTTGTTTCCTTTAGTCACTCCGTCATGTATCTGTACTAGTGCTACTTTATGAGTTGCTTCTGAATGATGATTCTCGTTAAATTGCCTCAATAGCAAGTTGGCCTATTTTTATTTACAACTTCTTTGTTTCCTTTAGTGTATTAAATATTGTAATGGGTATGTACTATGGGGCATCTGAATAGAGATAAATGTGTATTAAATAAAAGGAATGATCATTAGGGACTGATATACCTTCAGTTTACAAGGAATGCATTAGGCACGTATGTAGTTCTTTAATAGAATATATGAGCGTGTATTGGGTATTACAAAAATGTGGGACCCATTGCAAAAATTCGGCACTAATTTTTATATTTAGTGACATATTCTCCATTTGGCCCATGGGCTTATGGGCCGATGGGGGCTCGCCCGGCCCATCGAGAACAAGCTCGGCTTGGCTTGTTAGTTAGTGGGTTGGGCTTGGGCTTAGGTGCTTAGAGCCCAGCTCGGGCCATAGACTAGGTCTGTTTGAGCCCCAGCCTGCCCATCAAAGCCCGGTCTGTAGGCCCATATTTAATTATATTATATATATATATATAACTTATTATATTGGGTTAATTATATTGTAATGGGTATGATACTATGGGGCATCCGAATAGAGATAAGTGTGTATTAAATAAAAGGAATGATCTTTAGGGACTGATATACCACATGTTTACGTATCAGTAATGGAGAAAGTAAGGAATTAGAGAATTTAGGAATCGGGGAACTACTAAATCGGTATGGGAAGAATCATTCTCATTAAGCTGTTTACTAAACATATGGAATTAGCAAAGGAATGGGGTTGATTCCCATTGTTATTGTTTACTAATTTTCATGAATCAGAATTCAAATTAATTTGATTACTAAAATGCCTTGCACATTTTCACCACAACACATATATAATTCTCAAATTGGCTAAGGAGACCAAACTAATCCGGTAGCAAACTAGTAAGGCGGTGTAAACATGAGGAATCAATATGTTGAACAAGATGAACAGTAAGAGGCCAGTTCAATGATAATGTTAATAACACCTTTGTCAAGAGCCAATTTCAAACGAAAAAATAAACTCCAATAAATATATATCTTTCACCTACATAACTAGTAAACAATCAAATAATAATGATCTGCATAATCTTCATACTACCAAAAAAAAAGATATGTAATCTTCACAAAAGTTTTTATCTATGACCGTACTATGTTTTGTGATGAATGTGAAGACAAAATATAGAAGAAGATAGATAGATAGAATGATTTACAAAGCACAAGGCGTTGCTGCTGATTATGGGAGGTTGTGTCCGCACGATAACGTGAAAAAGAAGCTGGAGCTTCTTGGAACTTCTTGGCGTGAGTTTTTATTTTTTTTTAGGGTTTGGGGTGTTTTGGAATTATGGTAAAGTA